CGGCAGGAACTTCTCTTAAAGATTCCTCACATGTCTAACACGAGCCACAATTGCTCGACGTAGTCTCTGTCAAAGCGGTTGTTCAGGAAGTCCAACAGGTCCTCTGAGTGGTGATGGGCTGTGATTACACAATCGGGGGCCAAGGCGCTCGCATGACTCTTGAACTTGAAGTCGTCCACGATGGTCTGGAACGAGCCCACCAATTGATGGATCCTTCTGGCGCTGCTCGTTGCAGAATCCATCTCAACATCGCTTTTCCGGATTCTGCGCTACTCAATCTCAGGAAGCCACCCATCCATTGACTTCAAGTGTATCTTGAGCTGGTTGAACTGGTGAACAGTGCTGAACCTAGACGCACGCCGAGAGGCTTCGCTCAAAGCTTAGCACCAGTAGCTGAGGCGAGGACATGTGTATGAGCTTGACAACCCTTCGGCAGAAGAGATCAAAGCGTCCGAAAATAAGACTTTCGTTGAAATCAAACCTCGCAGCGGCAGGCATTGTGATCGGTATCCAAGTCAAACAGCCATGCATCTTAGGAATCAGCTGCTTGCCCTTCGGCAAAGTCATGAGCTTGTTCTTGGTGAGGTTGTACTGCTCCTGGTACCTCACACATTGTCACACATGTCACACACACCATCCTTTCTTGGCGAGGGCTTGGGGCTCGCAAACCCGGGTTCGGACCTGGGCTTCTGGTTGCGGGCTGGGATCAGCGAGAGCTATGAATCGGGCTAAGTCAGGCTTAGAATCAGATCCAAGCTTCTGTTTGGTTTCGAACGATTCAGCTTGAGTGACGGATGCTTTCAGAGAGAGCGTGCACAGAGAGCCTCTCAGCCACTCAGCCGTGGACGCCAGCCCCAGTCACTCAGCCACTGAGGGTCTGAGCGTCTGATTTCAAACAGGTTCCGCCCGCGCGCGGGCTCAATCTGCTTTCAGATTCTCAGTTTCGGCCGGAGGGCTGCGACATGCCGCCTCCTGGTGTCTAGAACGTGGTATTTCAGTTCTCACAGCTCGGACAATCCAAGTGAAGCTCCACAGAGCTCGGCACGCGATAAATTCCGTTCTGGTGCTCGGGTGTTCGAGGTGAGAACGTAGGCTGGCACAAAAGGACTTCAGCGAAACCTGAAGCTTTCCCTCCTGGCTCGGTCATCGAGAGCAGGAAAACGGATAATAAGCCCCAGACGATTCGTTGAGCTTGAGGCATACATCAAGGTGGCCGATCAAGTCCGGAGGATAGGTATCCCAAAGCCTGACTCGCAACATGTATCAAAATGACCTGACATCCAAGATGCGGAAACACTACGGGTGATTTTGTCGCAGCAGCGAAGGAACCTGTCGAATAACTCTTGACACAGCCGTCCAGAGGCTTGGCTCATGACTGAGACGCGTCCTCACACTCTCCGATGATGCAGGTCTTGCACAGGGGACCAAGTCCACTGCAATCGAGTGTAATTGGCTTGCAAATGCACCCTGCAGTTGTTGATCATCTGGTTGGTAATCTTGGAAAACAAGTTGGTGATGCGCTCTGACCTCAGATTTAAGACAACCTAACACTAACGAATGCTGACAGCAGGCACGACGCTGCTGTCATGTCAGCCCCAAACGTGTTGTAATATCTTGCAATGGTGTGGATCATCGTCACCTGGGCCATCGTAAGGTTGAACAACATTTTATCGGCAACGTGCGCATTCTGGCGAAAACTCATTCAAGCTTCTCAAGTCTAGCTGCCGAGTTCAGCAGGGCAGGCAAGGTGTCGATGATTTGAGACCTGACCCATCCAATAGCATTAACAGTGGTGTCCTCAACTGAAAGCCCGAAAAGGTCGGACTATTTCTGGGATTGTCACGGTGTTCCGGAGTACAGGGGCTCAATGAATTTCTCGAGGGTGGTGAGATACTTCACGTTGTCCTGCCAACAGCTGTCGTTTTGAGTAGGGACGCAGACGACTAGTTCTGCTGGTTGGAATTCGCCTTCGCCTCGTTGAAAGCTTCTGTAATGGAGATGTCCTTTCGTTGCACACATAGCTGCAAGCTTGAAGTCCAATCCTGCTTTCGTAAAGCTCGGGAAGGTGCGATTTGCTTCCAGCGCCGAAGTGTGTTGAAGACAGTTTGGCGGCCTGAGAACACAGTGGAAGGGTTTGCCAGAACTTCAGGCGTCGAAGCCCAGAACGGAGCGACGGCGTAACAAGATTGTGTCCAAAGTCACGCTTGTCCATTGAAGTCCTGGACCCCCTGCACTCGCTACTCGACAACGCGAGGCGAGGTTTCAGGATACAAACGTTGCCACATGTTCCTGTAATACCACGAATTCCAAGCCTGCACTTGTGCAATCAACGTAAACACCTCGACCTTCCTTGACCTGAACGGCAACTCGCAACCAAATCTGCCGAGCATGGAGGGAAACCGTCGTGGGTCGTCATATCCTCCCTACATGGCACCAGTGTGCAGAAGTGGGCTTTGCCACTACTACAGTCTACGTGCTGAGAACCCGGTTGAATCATTGCATCGTAGGAGGGAGCGAAAGCTGCTGGATAGTTTCTCTGTACCAGTGAAGTGGGCGCTTTGCCTGAACTTCCGCTTTCTCTCGCCTCGCACGTAGAGAGGCCTGGCTCCGGACAATTTCTCGTTCCACCGAGGCAACCGGCTTAGAGGCACTGTGGCCTCAACAGAGTTCGTAGCAAAACGGTGCGTGGGGCCAGTCTACGAATGGAGCGCAGAGGCGAAGAGAGATCACATGAGCAATTCAAGTTTGATGCGGTGCCGGGAGTAACGGGACGCGCTTTAGGGAGTAACGGAAACCGATCTCACAGTGTAACGGAAACCTGCCGCCACGGTAACAGCAACCAGGCGACCAGCGTAACACGAAGGACCACCGGAACAGGAACTGGTCTCGGGAACCCAGGCGTGGGCAGGCGGCGAAGGTCCCCCACGGATCCCACGGGCAGGCCTGTGGGACCCGCACACGCACACACGCATATACAAACTCACATGCGTATGCTGATACATGGGTACTCAGCGGGTCACACAACCAATCTTATGCATAAAAGCCGGCACAAGCTGACAAACAAGCAGGCAGGCTGACAGACCCATATGTTGTAGTTTCATAGGTTCACAGTGATGCGTGAAAGGTTGAATTGGTTGCAGATACATTCATGCGTGCGCATGTGCTTGTCACCAAAGGTGAAGTCCCTTTTTGCTGCAGGCTTGCAAGCAAGAACTCCTGGTAGTTAGCCACTCGTCCACCAGTTAGCACTGTACTCGTGACATTGCTTCCAGCTTCTGAGCATTCCCTTTTGAAACCGGACTTGATGACTGCCAGCACTGCCTCCTCTGCCGTTCTTCAGCCGAGGCCCGAAAACGTTAGCACACAAGCACTCCACTCCCTTGGATAGGCACCCCTTTTCCACAGGCTTGAACTGAGCTCGCCCGGCCAGATCCCCTAAACCCTGAACCGTGTACCCGTGTAACCCTAAGCCCTAACACTTTGAAGCGGTTCCTGTTACAAGGGGCTACCCCAACGCTGTTAGGGGAATCACCGGGTTGGCGTTACGATCTGGGAGCGACATGACTTCTGACTTCTGCTCATTGCTGCACCGACCGCATCCACCCAGCACGCGCTGGCCTGACTGCCCGACTTGACCACGGTGGCACAGACTGTGCACACGAATACACGTGCCCCATTTGCTGAGGGAGCGATTTCTTCCCCAGGATCGGAAAGTAACAAGAAACATGCAACGCACCGGTTTCCTGGCAATCTTCGCATTTGGACACGACGTTAGGACACGGGACCTTACAACTTGGACTCGAAGGGCGAGATTAACATGCGTCGGCAGAAGAGAACCAGGTGCACCCTTGAGACAGGATGTGCTGCCGCAACACTGGTACTTGCAAATTACACAAGTTCGCAACAGAACACGGAAAAGATTCTGCAAAGTCAAAAGCTGCTCAGTTCAGCCTGGAGTGTTGCATGCGACCGGCTCCGACATGTAGTTGTTTCCCTTGCAGGTACCCGGCATGGAGTTATCCGAGCCTACTGATGATCACGGGTTTTGAGAAATCTCAAAAATTCACAACGAGCTTTTGCGCGAAGAACTGTTTGCAGGGGCCATGTACAGCCAGTGTCACTCGAAACACACGGTCATGAATGCTTCATTGCCACCACAAGTCGACAATGGGACAGTGGAGCCGAAACGGCAGAGCCAGCATGGAGCCCCACTCCTCTGGATTGTCGTGCGAACGAACAAAAGTTCAGGAAATTGGGCTCACTGCTCTTTGGCGCCACGTCGCTTCCACCCTGCTGTCGCGTCACAGCCTGAGCACGTGGCTGTCTCTGCACACTTCACAAGAGCTTTTTTCAGCACTCGCACTCGAACAGGTCAGGCGAAGATTCGGAGGACAACTGGAGTCGTTTCCCCAGCAGCAAGCTAGGTTGGCTCGCAGCCCCAGTCGGTTATGCCGGGGTCGACAGCACACAAAACCGGCGGATATCCTGAAAAGGGCCATCTGCAAGTCCATACACTTACGGCCATTGTTGAGCCGGCTTTGAAAGAACAAAGAGTTGCGAAAGTGGGCTGAGCACCAGATGCCTGCAACGCACGCACAGATATGCATAGCTCGCGATGCTGCCGTGATAAGAAAAATCGCAAGCAAATAAGCATCACATCGACATCGTCAGCACAACCGTGCGGCTGTCGGGCCAGCCAACTTGCATCCTCCATCCAGCCTCTGTGAACTTGTGAGAGGTGGAATCCGTGGAACCCACTGCCGCGCAGGCATGCGGGCATGCCTCCCCTGAAAACCGAAGGTGGTCTCGACTCTGGAGATGCTCAGCAGAAACCCTTCTGATGGCTCAAAGGTGGCGCAGGAAACGTGACCATAAAGCAAGGCCAACGCAAGCATAGCTATGTCGCTCCGACTTCTCGAATCGTGAATTTGACAGCAGATGTCGTCGTCAACCGCTGCCAGCCGGGGCCTGTTCATATAGCCGGGAAGGCAGCCAGCCGGCTAGCAATATAGCTCCTGAGTCGCCAAACGAAGGTTGCGCTTGAGATTTAAAGCTCCTTTCTGGACATAAGATGCATAACGCTGAGGCTAGAGCTAGTAAAGCTAGTAGTCGTCGTAGGATGGTGCGTGCGCGCGTGCGTTGCGGTGCCGTGCCGTGCCGTGCCGTGCGGTGCCGTGCCGTGCCGTGCCGTGCGGTACGGTGCCGTGCCGTGCGGTGCGGTGCGGTGCCGTGCGGTGCAGCGCGGTGCGGTGCGGTGCGATACCTTCACGGATCAGCTCACCTTGCTTTCGTATGGCATTCCGTTGGTCTGGCATGCTTAGCACCTCAAATTCCATCTCATCTTCGTTTTGATCATCATCTTCAACATCACTCTGTTTCATGTTGCCAGCCAGCCAAGAGTACGCCCAATTTGTCGAGAGTGTCTCAGTCATAGGTGTGCACAGCATGGGGTATGCAGCAGGGTATGCAACAGGGAAGACAAAAGATCGCACGGCCAAAGGCGCAGATGGTCCAACCAGAATGACCGATTCCACAACCAAAAAGCCCGGTTGGGCAACCAAAACAGCCGTTGAGCCAACCATGACAAGAAGTATACCCCACCAAAAGGAGCCGATTGCTTAACCAAAACAGAGCATCATCCAACCTTGGCCCGATTCAAGCCTAACCCTAATCTAATCTACTCTCATCCTATCCTAACTTACTCTACCCCAACCTGACCTAACACAAGGAAAACGAAACCCCTACAACCCCAACCTGAACAGACACCGCCGGCTGGGCTGGTGCACACTCCTGATTGCAGTCTCGATCACTGGGTCCTTCGCGGCCCTCAGCCGCCTCGTCCCCCTCCCCAAAGGTCCGGGCGTGAGCGATGGTGCCGCATATGCCGTGTCCAGGCGGGTTGCCACGTCTTGTCCTCGGTTCTGTCGTGACCTGGTGTCTTCGAGTCCATCCTCGTCCGCTGGGTTGGCAGAGTCCTCCTGCTCGTTGGTCCTCCTGTTCACTCCAACCCGAGCTTCTTGTGCTTGACTTGTCTCCTTGTTGCTTCATTTGCCCGGTGCACAGCTCTTCTTCTCCTATGCACGTTCTCAACCCTTTTTCCCTCCGGTCTACTTTGTTTCACGGCCCCTGTCCAAAGCTGCTTTTTGCGATCGGCCTCCGTTTCTCGCACGACTGCCGACTGCCACTTCACGGCTTCAAAAGGTCGAGCTTGAGCTCCGACCGCCTTTTCGTCTTGGCGTTCATGTTCGAGTTGCTCGTAAGGCGAGCGAATGCCCGTTTCTTCGCGACGCCTGAGTACTTCTCGCCCTCTTTTTCCCCGCATGCTTCTGCACCCGTGGTTTTGTCCCACGAAAGGCACGCTCTGCTTCTTCGCAGCTCCGACGCGTGTAGCTGGCCCTCCTCAAGTGTTCCATGAAGAGTATCTCTCTGTCTTCCGTTTTCGCATTGTGGTAGGCTTTTGGCGTTCGATCTTCTGCCGCACCACTGACCCTTCTGAAGATTGTTCCCCCTGTGCGTGGATGAAGAATGCATCCGCAGTCTCCCTGCAGCAGTCCTGGTTCACGGCCTGCCCCTTGTTCAGGTTTTTGTTGTCAGACTCTACAACCTGTGATGTCTCGGGCCTTGTGGCGTGGGTTGGCCCAGCCTCCACGACCACCAACACGACGCACCCCCAATGACGTGCATCGTTGTGCACGAGCATCACTCGCATCATCGTGGGTTCTCTGGAGGGATCTGTTTAAAATAGTTGCAGGACCAAGACGGCACCTGGAGGTGAGCGCTTCATTCACTCCAGGAGGTGGCCGGGTATTGGTTGTGTCATGGCTTGCTGACAGAGCGTGGTGGGTGACACGGTAGACTACGACATAAGCCACCTCCCAAGCCACCTCCCTTCCAGCAAAGGATGGCTGCAGCAGAGGTTTGAGCGGTTTGCATCCGAATTGGCCTCATCCGCAAGAACACTCGTAACACTAGGACACGCCCCCTGCTGTGAATCTTGAGGGTGTCGGGTAATCCTGAAGCTAAGGCTCCGATTGAGATGTCTGGCCCTCCGACTTCCACCACCTTGCAGCCAGTTCGCAGCGATCGTCTGCAGGTAGCTCGGGCAAGGCCCGCAGGTCTAGAGTTGCGAAAGCCTGGTGACCATAAAGCCGACGCGAGGGGGCGAAGCAATGTGCAGAAGACAGCCAAGCGTTAAAGATCGAGGATGGCCAACCGTCGACAACTTCAACTCCAAGCTGCAATTCAACATTTTGGTGCAGGAATGTCAGATCGAAAAGAGTGGCTTGCAATAACCGGTAGCCATGTGCAGCTGCTGTATCGTGCCAGGCTTGCATGCTGCAGCCAGACCAATGTTGACCTCGCTTGCCGTCCATCCAAGACAAGCCCATTCGGCCTGCTTTGGTCTCCGAAAACTGCTCCCGGAAGCGTATCGGTGGTGGGAAGATTCGGTTATATTCGACCACCAGAAAGGCCGGAGCCAGCCTCATCTGTCGCAGTAGGGCCTCCGCAAAAAAGCAATCGGCGTGATCAAGGTCGATCTTCAAAAGGTCAAGGCGTGTCACTGCAAGTTTCGCCAGAGCGTCCTCTACAATGCGGGTGACGTTTCTTGGCGAGATATAGCCGACATGCACAACAACACCTGGCCAGCGGTGTTGCAAAGCCGTCGTTTCCAAACCCTCCACAGCAACTCCCCTTGCGCCGAGGTCGAAGGCACAGTTGGCCACGTCTTTCACCACCATCTGTGCATCCATGCAACTACCGTCGTGGGCGCCGAGATTCACAACTACGAGTTCGGAGGGCATCAGCCCCTGCTGTTGGCGAAAGAACTCCAAGATGTCTGCAAAGGGCAAGCGTGTCGTGGACACGACATGGTGGCCGTAAGTCCTTTGATGCCAGCAAGCTTCGCATCTACTCCATGCATCTGTACTGCCATACAGGTCTGTAACTACAGGGGTTCACCCGTCTCTCTGCTGCAGGAGTTGCTACATCGGTGTTCAACTGAACACGGCAGGTAGGCATAGGTTCGCTCGCATCTCTTATGCTTGCCTGAAGGTGCTTGGACGCTCTAGCCCCTGCTTCTTCTCCTGGTCTGTGGGAGCGCTCTCTCCGACTCTCTTCAAACATCTTCCCTCGTTTCCCCACGCTCTTATGCGAACGCAGGTCTCTCCCTTTCGCGCATCTCGCGGACATCAGAGTTTCGCTGCTTCCTTGTGTTGCTCCCTTTCTTTCGTCCTAGAAAGGTCCGAGAAATTCTGCATGGCTGACCGAGAGGCCCGTTGAGAAACATGAAGGGCCACCTGCAGAGAGGTCATCGAAGTTGCAAAGCTGTTGCAAGCAGTCTATATCTACTCTCCAAATTTCTTGTTGGACATTTGCACCTGAGGCAAGAACGTCTGGGCAAAGTCTGCCTGTGCCACAGCACCACACACGGGAGCAACCTGTTCTCCGAGCAGAGGGCACAGCTGGTAAACAGAAACGCCCAAGTCCAAGTGCGGTTCGAGCACATCAAGTGGGTATCGGGCACCCCGTCCAGGCAGGCCGAAGTCGCTTCGAAGACGCGGAATAATCAAGCTCACCACCTCCTTGGGAATCGCTTGGATGGCTTTCGCCGAATCCGAAAGTCGAGCCAAGTCGAGCCAAGTAGCCATCAACTCGTTGCCAGCGCTGCAGGGCTCTCGCGAGAGCCATGGGAAGTTGGGCGGCGCGCGCGCCAAAAGCTGCTCCTACCAAGACCCCGATGAAATCTGCAAGGTCCGCAGGATTCCGCAGGACTGCGACCAAGCAGCGCATGAGGCATTCCAGTCGGACTGAAACTCTTCCGTTGTAGGATACACGCACCTCGAAGTCCACGGGCGCATCTGCGTAGGATTTAGTAGGGTTCCATGAAACTTGATCCCAAACCCGAACTCAAAAACCGGTAGTCGAGCCCAGACAATGCCCGGTCGACTGCTGGCGCTTGTTCCGACTCGCACACGCGCGCTGCACAACAAACCCTCGGGCCTGAATCTTGCCATACAGAGCATCAAGTTCAAGCTCTCGGCAAAGCTGAGCATAGCATTCACAAGGTCCATGGGAACTCGTCCAGCCTGTCCATGATCTGCGGGTGTGCCAGGGTCAAGGGCAGTTCCACCCGTGCGCGATCAAATCAAGCTCAACATGGCTGCGAGACCTCGCTGGCATCCGCAAGTGCCCACTCCAATTCCTCGATGTGGCCGTAGAAGCTGAGCATCATTCCATCCTGGCAAGTCACCCGCACGGCATCAAAGACGACCTTGCCTCGACCGCTCCTGCAAATGGATTTCCTCATCACAGTCTGCAGGCATGGCCCCTGGCCCTATCGACCGCAGAGGAGGACAAAATGCTAGTGCTGGTCCTTGGAGCGCAGACCCCACACTGTGGCCCAAGCCCAGAGCATGAACAACAAGACATGGCAAAGCCAATCCTTCCGGCTCAGAAGGCTTTGCTTGCCTGGTGGTGGGCACAAGAACCTTCAAGGGTGATCGTCAGAAACCGGGTGCCACTTGCATTCACGACAAAAAGACAAGCCATTCTGGTCGCACCATGAACAGGGTGAAGGCGAGCGGTGTGGGCATCCAGGCAGGCATCGTGCCGCCAGCGCATCATGCCCGCAGCATACTTTGCCATGCACGACCCGCAACTCACCACGAACATGGAGGCTCCCAGAACTCAGAACCAGAATGGCTAAGGAACATCCTGCATGGGGGGGGAATACACTTTTCCGAACCTCAAGATCGAGATGCAGACATGAAGGACGTTGAAGACAGATTTGCATTCTCGGCCTCGGAAACGATCATTTAAGTGCAGCGGAAGCCTGCGGCAGCATGCTGTAGCCCTGGGACTGTGACCCTTCAGCTGCTCCTGACACGCTGGCATCACTTGTCACCATTCACAGCGACACGGGGTTTCGCCCACGGAAGTCTGCACACAAGTGGCTCCGTAATTGATGTGATCTTCTGCATTCGGCCACGCCAGAAGTCCAGCTCACTGCGAGGTCCGGGCCTGTCAGCGACTGCGCAATGCTGCGCCATACCACGCGCCAGAGTCAAAGCATATCACAGAGCATTGCTGCTTGGCATCGCCGTTGGACTGTTGCTCGGTGGTCGACTCTTGCACCGCACTGTGCTGGTCCAGGCCTCATGACCAAAGGAGGCATCTAGGTCGTTAGCACGTGCACGCAGACTGACACTCTGAGGCAGCGTCCATCCTCCAGGTACCGCTCAATGTCTCGGCACCAAGTCTGACATGCGATGCAAGGTGGAAGGGTTGGGAGCGGCCTGGGATGGCTCGGAAGGAACGTAGAGTCGGTGTTGGCTGGTGCTTTACACCCTCACAACTCGGACATGCCAGGCGAGGTCTCACAGTGTCGGGTCGGTTGGCTTGTGCTTTAACTTCTCCAATCTACAGCTTCATGGAGCCTCGAGAAGTGCTCCATACTCCCCAATGACCTCAGTGACACGCTGAACGACTTTCAATTCCAGATTCACGTGCGATTTGGCCTCCGGGTGCTCCCTCACCAAGTCCTGCAGGTTGAAGATCATGGAGGTCACAGCTAAGAAATTCAGCATCAACGAACTTGAACTTGGGATTTGCTACTGCGGTCTATGCAGGCACATGTGCTCGTCCCATGGCTCCATCCCCCTGAAGCCATGAAATGACGGGCCCGAAGCCACACCTAAAGACGTAGATGGGCAGATCCCGCCAAAAGCGAATTAAGAGCCTCGCTGCCAACTGTTCATCGGCGGTCTTGTGACGGCCAAAGGCTCTCGCTGAGCTCGGCATCGGAAAGGCCGTCACCGACGCCGGTCGCGCGTCGGCTCAGTCAGTCTGCGGAAGTGCGGGCACCGGTAAAAGCCCCGCGCGGCCTTTGGGCACGCTCGCAAAACAAAAAAGCGAAGAGAAAGAGCCAACGTTGGGCTCCGCGCGGCAGTTCTCCAGCAGCCAGGCAGATAGCCAAAGCCCCACCACAGCCGCCAGCAGCAGTAAAAGACACCTCCAAATCAGGACCCTGTTTCTAAGTGGGGTTTGTGCGGCAATAGCCGGTCGGTGTGCTGCGTGGAGCAACCTAAACCCTAAAGATGTGTGCCGGACTGCGCGGATAAAACAGCGCTGAACCGCTACACAGGAAGTGTCGGATTTTGTCGGATGGAGAAACCGTAAAGCCTGGATGAATCACTACACTTGATGTGTGAGGGGGGCGGGGACACCCGAAAATCGAAGGGTAGCCTGAAACAGCTAGACCCGCGAAGCTGGAAACCCGAAAAAAAAGAGGTGTTCAGTGTCGCTTTCCCGCGAAGCTTGAAAATTAGAGAGACTTGGACACTTGGAAAATCTAAACAAACCCTGAATAGCCGCCGCTGGCGAAACCCGAAACCCAAAACATGGCACAAATTAGTCTGGTATTTCGGCGAAACACTAAGCCCTAAAATGTCGTGAAGCCGAAAGTTTGATGCAGTCCGGGGTGGCGAAGGTGGTGAATCCCAACGCTGGATAAGGCTGGAGCGTGTGTACACTGGCACAACCCTACGCCGAAAAGGGTGGCGACATTGTCAAAGCTAACAAGGTTGCCATGGTGCAACCATGGGCACTGAAAAAGTTGCCAAAACCCGAGCCTTAATTAAGGGTTAGATAGGGGCACTTCGCGTCCAAATCCTTTTGAAGCAAGGATCTAAAGCCGTGCCTGCAGAGGTGCTGAAGGCCGGCGTCCGAATTACACAGAGTGCGGGTAGAGAAGCGGCAACATGTAAACAGTGTGTATCGGATGCTGAAACCATTTACCCCTGAATGGCATGCCGACACCTGAAGCCTGACCGGAGTGTAGAACGGTGCAACCCATCGCAACTCTAAACCCGCCCAGTGCGTCGGATGCTGAAACAGGGGTAGACTGTAGACTCGAAAACTTGCAACCCTGAAGAATGGTTTCGTTGACCTGACGTTATTCCAAAATGCGCGTTGGATGCCGAAACGGAATGCCGGGTGCCGAAACCTTAAACCGTCAGGAAGCGTGCCGGATGGTGAAACAGGTCACAGTGCAGACTCCAAGGTGGCACAACCTTAAACTGTAACGACACGGGGTGCTGGGCGGCAAAACTCGAATTCCTAAACCTTTTCGGACGGTGAAAACGAAGAGCCTACATGGAGTGCCCGGTGGCCAAACCCGACACCAAGAAAGAGCTTTGGATGATGAAACAGTGAGTCCTAAATCCAATACCCTGAAAGGAGAGCAGCATTGCGACATGCTTAAACCACGCCCAAGGAACCCTCAACCCTGAGAGAGATGCGGGGTGGCGAAACTGAAAGTCCCTGATCTTCACAACTGGGCATACTTAATGGACTGTGGAGTATTGCACTGCTTCCGGGTGGTGAAAAGTTCAGCCAGAAACGCCATCATGCGTTGCAAATGACTTCAGAACTACAATTCCAATCAGGATTGCTCACGAGCAGTGTGCTTCTGCGACCGCAGTAAACCAGAAAGGCATGAACTACCACCTGCTCAAGTGATTCCGAGTCAATGGAACTGAGCTATGGAACTCCGAAACACGAGCATGTAGCACCATGTGCTTCTTGCTTCAAACTTGTCGACCCATATCGAGGATCAAGCTGGTCATCTGGCAGTGGAGTGTAAACGTTTGTTGAGCTCCGTCTTCGAGCCCGACGCGATACGGGTCGTTTGCGTTTACCGGCGAGTTGAACTCTGGCAGAAGGTGGCGACACCTTAACCCAAACAGGAATGTATGGTGGCGAAACCCTGACATGGCAACTGTAAACGCGCTAGGTGGCAACACGAAGCCCGGTGGCCGAGACCCTCTGCATTTGGTGAAACCCCAAACCCTGAAAGCAATGTAAGCAGCAAAACTGGAAACCCTAAAATGAATCGTGCCGCTGTCTTGCACAGGTAACTGGCGTGGTTGTTGAAGCTGTGCAAGCAGCAAAACTGGAAA